TTGATCAACCGCTCAATCATTCCATGACATCCATTTCTTGGGCTATAACTTCTACAAAAACCTCTTTCAACAATGGTATATTTAAATGATGATGCCCTTTATGGAACAACATGACCGTTTTGTACGGTGTTCCGTTGAAATCCGTGAGACCGGCGAACAATAAATAACAAATAGTTGGATATAAACAATGTCGTGTTATTGTTTTCAAATAATAGCAGGTCTCAATGCAAAGGTGCACCAGCCTTTGTTTGGTGTTCGGTAGGTCTCTGCATGAAGAATACGAAATCCAACCTAGATATTTGTACCGATTTCTGCGAACATAAAATCTGAATACTATGAATAGAAAGTGATTTATGGATTCTAGCGGATTCGGAAATGTCAGAGATTGTATTTCAAACCAATTTTTTTACAGATACTCCACCCTAGAAGCCTACGTATGAACTGCAAATGTACGCCAAAAAAGGCTAAGAAAATATTAACTATTCTACAGTTTCCTTGGGCCTCTATGGCCATTATAAGAGAAACTTTACTGGGTCGTATCACCATCTTTTTAGAAGACGTAGAAGGGGTATATTGCGGCGCAAGTGTTTTGACATATCTTGGCAGCAAATGTTTCAACTGTGGACAGTTTAGTCATATTTTCAATTAACTAAAATCAAAACGTGAACACTGGAGGAAAAGAAAACGATTATGCACAACTTTCACTGTAGAGTTTTTTGATCATTAACATATTTTCTATATAGTTTTTGTCTCTTAGTCCATTGGACCGAAGGTAATCCATTCATTAGGATTAAAAGTATGCTACGATGCGGTTTTCCGGTTGAAACCACTCGTTTCTTCAGGAAAAATGTGTATGTCGGAAGTCGTTTGTATTTATCTCTAGATCTATGAAAATTGTGCAGGCTGTTGCTTATAAATATCTTCGCCAGGAAGTTACAAAGTATAGTGCATGACGCTGTAGTCGGTAGTCACTTGTTTTCAAAAAAAGCTTTTATGTTTCCATAATTCATTATCGTTATTAAAATTACCCTCAAAATGAATGTTGTAAACATTGAGTTTTTAAATGGGAAGTGAGGCGTGTTTAAGGCTTATGATACCAGCTTGAGAATTATGAAAAGTCGATATATAATGATTGACAAAAAAACGTAATATGGCATATATGTTCAGTATCCCTTACTAGTAAAATCATTGAATTTTCAGCTTGATTCCTCAACTGACTGCAGATGCTGCTTTAATAATGTGTTGAGGATCCACGATTTCTTATACATTCATTGACACGCCTGGAAATCGTGCTGATAAGGTGGTCGATATTTTGTTGGGGTATCTCATTCCAGGCTACTGCAACTTTGTGAGTAAGAGCTGCTAGAGTCCGTGGAGGGTGTTGCAAATTCAGGACAGGCGATTGTGGTGGCCAAGGTGAACGGTTAATAAGCTACACGAAATTTAACATTTAACTGACACCGTAAATGTACGAAAACTGAATGCTTCTTGATCACCAAACAATACACGCACCCATAACAAAAAATTAACAGAAACACCTGACCATTTTACCACTTGTTGTTCATGGCAAGATAAATCGATATGTAAAAAATTCTTGAATTCTAATAAATATACGTAGATGATTACCTTTGTTTTCACTCAGTATAATAAATATAATAATAATGTTATTTCATTCCTATTAGCATTACAGGAGGTGATATTTAGATACTATATCTATTCTACCACCTAGCCCTCTTAACAATTGGAGGTGTATAAAAACTAAAGAATTGTTAAAATTTAATACCTGTTTATAACGACAATAATAAAGCATAATTAATGTAAAGGCATACAAAATCAGTAAACACCTATTGTTTATATTGTTTACAAAGTATTTCGTTGCTGATCAAGTAGAGTTGAAAAAGCATATCTATCTAATATGAATGCCATGCATATTTCCTCTACGTATGAATTTGCTATCTAAAATGTCGGTGTCTTCGAATATAGTACCCTGTAAGTTAACTTAGGAGTTGGTATTTATGCATTTTATCAAGTTTCTTCCAGTTGAGGTCATTAATGGCCTTCAATATATGATCATATTTTCTGAGATCATTTACGAGCCTGCAATACATACTCGTAATACCTTGAATACGATTTTTGTTATAATATCTAAATAGGGATAGTAAACCAATAAGCAATACGATATTTTTGAAAATAATAAAAATTTCCACAATTGTTTTCTCGCAGATTTATGTAATATAGCATTATTTGCAACTATGACTAATATGAATACAAATAGCGGGGTTGGGAGCATATATACAGTAATGGACAAAAGTATATAGACAAATATGAATATCTACCTAAATATCTTTAGAAAACGAAGTCATACTTCATTGCTCCATAAACAAATGCGTTATTAGTAGAAAAATTAAATTCCTTGTTTTTACATTATCTGCAATGAACACAATACAAGTCTAAAATAAGCACTTTTTTCTAGGGACAAAAATGTGTAGACAAATTCTTTTCAACATTAGTTTAGTACAGTTTCGTGTCAGAAGAGGATTAGTTTGTGTTCATCAAGTATTGTGGAATAAGTTGAGTGATTTAAAGACCATGCCGCGTGATCTAGAAATTTCCTACGATGTGAATACTAACATCATTGAGTTATACAAAGATGGTCAACGTCAAGTCGACATTGCCAAAAATTTGAAGCTGAAGCGTAAAGCAGTTTGGGCAATATTGAACAAGTATAAACAAAAATGTATCTTGTAAGCCTCTAAGAAAAGTGGTCGGCCTAAACAACTAAATGCTAGATCAGTTAGATTAATAAAAGTAATTTCGTCCAAAGATCCGTTTAAAACCCCAAGACAAATAAAAGCCGAAATCAAGACAAAAGGAATTGCCAGTGTTTCTACGAAAACTATAAGTAGAAGATTACACGTCGCCTAAGTTAGAAGCCGCTAATCTCGAAGAAAAACCGTAAGGATCGATTACAATTTGCACGAGCAATATGCCCTTTAGATCAATCTTCCAGCAAGATGATGACCCGAAGCACACTTCAAATCTCGCAAAGAAATTATTTCTGGATGAAAAAATACCAGTTCTCAAATGGACTTCACAGTCTCCCGATATAAACCCCATTAAAAATCTATGGGAATACTTAGATAAGCAAATAAGAGATAAAAATTATTCAAAAGGATGAACTTTTTGCCACTTTAGAGCAAAAGTGGAGACAGATTGATGAATCTTATATCAAGAAACAAGGATGAACTTTTTGCCTCTTTAGAGCAAAAGTGGAGACAGATTGATGAACCTTATATCAAGAAATCTACAATCTATGCCGAGACGATGCCAGGCGGTGATTGATAATAATGGTTATGCTACAAAATATTAACACAAACATGGTTTCTTTTCTATAATTCAATGAACTTTGCTTCTTTTTTCTATAATTGTTTTGCTTTGTCTATATATTTTTGTCCTTCATAGTTCCAGTTTTTTCAATTAATTTTTTATTGAAGGGAGTCTAATGAATTTATTTATGTATAAGTGAGTATTATGCTATAATGAATTATGTACACAGGTTGGTGTATTAATAAAACAAGTTAAAAAAGAAATACAGCACAATATTAATTTGTCTATATACTTTTGTCCATTACTGTATATACATATATATATATATATATATATACAGGGTGACTTCGAAGTTGAGTCATTTATTTTAACAGTGAGTAGATCTAATCAAAAGAAATGTTTTTTTCCTTTAACATTTTTCTGGTAAAATTAAAGTAACAAAGTTATAGCCCTTTAGAAGTTTGAGCACCGCCCTGTCTCAATAATAATATTATGTGCTCGTGTTTGGCAACAACGGATATAATCCGCCTTATCCGTTCATCGCATCGGAAACAAAAAAGCGAAAGAATTTGAAACGATGTTTTTACTACAATGTACAATCTTATTCAGTTGTATTCAGTCGATGTGTCAGTCGGTAACGCGTGAGTGAATAGTGAATAAAAAATGGCACATGTTTACGAAAATGCTGAATGTAGTACAAAGGGCTCGTGAATCAGGTGACTTAAGACCTCACAGGGGAGGGCATGCCGGTGCTCCAAGACCACACGATCAAATACAGGTCCGCACTGAAATACTTGTCGGGAGGATACTTTATAAAACAGGGTAACATTTTTTTTTATTTTTACACACATATTTTGGTTTATCTTCCTTCTACAATCATTATCTGAAAATTAATGACTCAACTTCAAAGTCACCCTGTATATATATATACTGACATAAAAAAGTTCAACAAAAAGATTTTTTGCGCATAATAGTTTCGCAGTTCAGTAAGGTCCTACTCAATATTGGTAGGATAACTATACGTAATTATTTCAAACTGATTATAAAATGATTCATAAAAAATTGCATATTTTGTTTTTTACTATCAAGGTCCTGAAATCTGCTCTCAAATGACTGCAATTAGCATTCAAGTTTAGATCCCTACTTAGAACAATTTACAGTAGGAATAATGAACTTCACTTTGGGGTCAATATTTTCTGTGGCAAGTCGACTTGAACCCATTTTCATATGCTTTGTACGGCGTTCTTTCATAGTTCTCGATAGATAAAAATTTCTTGTTTAGGAAAATCTCAAAATCCTCGGCGGAAAGCAACAATCAAATCCTTCTTTCACATATTTTGTGGATCATTTTGATGGACACTAACGCTGATGTAGATCGTCCATATGATAGAGATACGCATACGTGCATAGCTAATTCAGATTTTATGCGAAATTTGATACATAATGGACTTATGCAAATGAAGAAAGTTATATATGGATACACGGAGCTAATAAAGAACTTTTTTAACTGTTTCTACTGTTCATAAACTTTTATGACACCGTTTCCATCAGACGCTCTTTATTATACCTAGAGAAACGATCGGTTAGACATTGTTAAAAAAAAGTTGCTTCACTTTCAATAGAAAATGAGAAATATCAATTTGGAACTTCTAAATCTTCCACAAAATGTTTACCTGCAAAAGTAGCAAACAGGGCCCAGGGTGCAATTTTCAGAAAGCGCCACCAGCAAATCCGATTCCCGATGTGCGATACTCCTACACGAACTGATGACACTCTCCGCACTTCCAAATTCCTCGCAAGTTTCGTCTGGTTCGTCTTCATTGTCGCTCACAGTTCCTTCTGTTGACTCCAACGAGTTGGCACGTTTCTCCCTCTCGAAGTCAGAATCCAAATAGTGTAACCAAAACAGTGAAGATTTGTTTTCTAAGGAGGTCAGCCATTTCGACAGAAGTTCGGCCGAGCCCGTTTTGTACACGTAATTAATGTCTGTATCGGTTAGGTCGTTCAAGGAAAGACTGCCCATCATTTTTAGGGCTGGTTAGGCATTTTACTCTGTAAGGGTTATACAGACTAGGAAACGAAAACTAGAATAGTCATTTTAGATGCTGGATCCAAACTTGCTGACAGAGTTTTTCGACCACGTATTTTGAAATTTCCTAATCTATAGTTAGTCTAATCATATCAGCAAATTTCCCCGAAATAATTGTAAAGTGTGGTTTTATTGCTTCAAGTTGTTCAAGGGGGTATTTAAAACATGGTCGCATAAAATGGTTACACCAGGCTTTGTGGGAAAACTTCTCTATTGGACAACAAAGAATGACAGGAACGAAAACACAAAAGTAACATATACCTACTTTCGAAAAGTCCTTATATTACTATGTTTTTTGCACTTATTCATACGATGCATCACCAAATTCTGTGGTGAAGAAACTCTGTAACAAAATTTGGAATTTTGAAAGGAAATACGCTGGAAATGACTATAGCAGTTTCAGTTTGTTTTGGGTTTCATGCGTGGTTGTTGTTGTTCCATTTCATCTTAGTTAAACTTCAAATTGATTTGTGGATGGCAAATCAAAAAGCTCAAGGTGTTTTTTTAAAACGCATAGAAAAAGTACACGATATAGTTTTTCCACCAAAAATCTTCATTGCAGAGCTGTTGATTCTCATTACTTCTGAGCATTTGTTACTAATCGTTACTATTCTACAAAGTAATCATTTATTGTATTATGCTTTAGTTTGGTAAGTTATCTTGTAAGAAAATAAACAACCTTAAAATTTGCGAAATTTGTTAAACATAATTTATTTAAATCTGCCGTGATTAATGCAAATATCGTATCTCTAAATTTTATGCAAAACGAGATGGTTTATATAGGTAAGTGTGTCATATGTCTCATAATTATGTGATTAAAAACTGAACATACTAGAAATGCTTCAAAAGCATCTCTTTAAGCAAGAAAGTTGATCTGTACATGGGCTTGAGGAAATTCGGAATGGCAAGTAACTTCAAAATTAGTGTAGTCTATAAACCACCATCGTACAGCAATAATGACTTTTTTCCCTATCAGAAGTCCATCCTCCTTAAACATTCAAGAAACCATTTAATAATAGGGATATAAACATAAACCTGTTCAAAGATTCTCTACCGACTTCTGACTACAAAAATTTGTTAACAATAAATAACTTCAAAATAAACAATTTGATTTGTGAAGAACATGCTGCTCCAAGTAAATCTCTCATAGACCATGATCGTGGTAGTAAGGTAGATTATAATGTAAGTGTAAAGGGAAATGCCCTGCCGGATAATAAGTTACTGTTAGTGAATAAAAGATAGCATCAAAATTCATAAACTAAAGGTAGATGATGAAATAAAAACTGTAGATTATAAGGGATTTCAATATCTTGTTCAACAGAAGGTACGAACAGTGAATTATTGTTATCATTCAAGAATGTCAAGGTCAAATCCGAAGTATTGAGAATACGTGAAAATAATAGCTAGATAGATGAAGAAATACGATGATGGAGAAAAGGGATAACATTTACAAACAACCACAAAATCGGAATTAAAAAAAATTAAAAACCGAAAAAACAATGTCGGTGTTTTATCTAAAATTGTTGAAAAAAAAGCATCAAGAAAAGACTGTCGTTTATAGATGCAAATACATGAAAATACATTCTGGATGAAAAAAAAAGTGGTTATCGCGATGTTTATGTGATGTAAATATCAATATTTTATTGAATAAGTTACAAAGGGGTATCATGTATGGCTTGATTAAAACTCATTTACTTAACAGGAAACAAAATGTGAATATAGGTGACACAAATAGTGAGTGGTTATCTAGTGGCTATGGTGTCCCCCAGGGGTCAGTGTTGGGGCCACTGCATGTTCTAAATCTACAGAGTACTAATTTTAATGCAAGGTATTTTACTTTTGCTAACCACACAGTTATTCTCTATAAAGGACATCCTGTGCAGGCTCTTCGTGATGAAGTTAATTTAGATCTTGCTGTCAACATCGATAAAACAAAATATCTAATTTTTAAGAAGAATAAAATAGGTGGAAACTTTTGTATAAGAATAAATAACGTCAAAGTAGATAAAGTATATAAGCATGGATTATTTATCGATGAGAATTTGATTTGGTCTAGTTACATTAAACATTTTTTGAATGCAACAACGACGATGATAGCTGCGTTGTATCGAAGCAGAAACTACTTAACTACAAAAGATAAAATACCTGTAAACATTTAAAATGAATTTTTCTTGGCACACTTACCTATTTGGGGAATGTGTGGTAAAACTGAATCTCATAAAGCACAAGTCTCGCAAAATATGTAGAACATTGAGAATTCTGTTCAACTATGACCGACTTGCCAACACGGATAATATGCACATCGAATTGAATGTTAGCTATTGGAATTAGAACAATGTAAAATAAGTTTCAGAATTTTAAATAACCAACAAAAGTGTACACATGATGTGCATGACTATGAAACAAGATCACATAATAATTTGCACCAGATGCCTACTAGAACTAATATATAGGACTAAATAGCCCTCCCACTGATGCTGTAACAGCATAATAATCTACCAAATACTGTCAACAATGTACATTTATTTAGAAATTATGTAAAAACACTCAAAAGTCACTTGAATTGTCGCATTTATTCTTGTTAAAATTCGCACTTTGAATTTTGTTGTTCTCGAGGCCAGTGTTCTAAACACACATAAGAGAACTTCGTTTACAGTAAGATTTGTAAAAAATGACTGAATTGAATATAGTTTGCTTTAAAAAAAAATCAGCATATACCATTACAAAAAATTCTATGTGGAGCTTAGTCTACACGTAGAATTCAGCGATTCTACGCGTACGGGTACGGAGAACTGAGTCATCCAAGTACTTATTTGGTGATCGTATTGTACTCATTAGGGTATATACGGGTAACGAGTACTCGAGTAACGAATAGTTACTTCTTCAACACCTCTACTTCATTGACAAGCACAAAAATGGCTTTACAGTGAGTGACGTTGCTTTTTCTTTTATTAATCTAATTGGAGAAAATCAATAATATATAATTATCGATTAACTTCTATATTGCCAGCACATACAGCTAATTAAAAGCTAAAATAAACACCTATCGCTTATCATTTTCACATAACTCAGTACAAAACAAATATTAAATCCTCTTGTTACATTCATAGAAAACCTCTAGCGTTTCTAATAGAGAAATCTACTAAATCCTATAAATGAATGCAGTTATACGACAAAATAATTATCCGATAAGCTCTATGGTGATACTGGTGACGTGTTAACATTTCGGTAGGGTCTTACTAACGAATAAATATCACGTTCAACGTTAGTGAAATCAACTAGGTTCAGCCGTTTGGTACACCTATATATCAAACACAAAATTCTCCTAATTCTCCTACATTTAATCCAGTTATTGTAGAAATACTATACTAAGTGACATATAAATCCGAACACCCAGTTTAAATGGTTTTATTTTAATAAAATTTTGTATAAGTACTTAATGAAGCATAATATGTAAATGATAAAAATTTCAAAATGATTGCACTGCTTTAAAGCCCTTTGACCTTTAATAATGTGTGGATGCACCCTGATGTGCTACGCATTCTCCTACGCGCCTAGGCATGCTTCTGATCAGGTGGTCAATGTCCTCCTGTAGTATCTCATTCCAGGCAACCACCAACTCCTCTCGAAGTGCTTCTAGAGTCTGAGGAGGACGTTGCAAATTGAGCAATCTCCTACCCATCATATCCCACACGTGCTCAATTGGGGATAAGTCGGGAGATCTTGGTGGCCATGGTAACAATGTGACATCATTATGTTGAAAGAAGTCTATTGTGACTCTTGCAACATGTGGTCGGGCATTATCTTGTTGGAAAGTTGGATCTGCCAGGGTGTCGAGATAGAGTAAAAGATGGGGTTCTAGAACGTCGTGGATATAACGCTGCGCGTTCATGTTACCTCTGATGAAGATTAAAGGTGACCTGGAACCATAAGCTATAGCACCCCAAACCATAACTCCAACAGTCCACGTCGCCTTCTAACCCTGGCACGACCATCGTGCATGCCTAAACAAAATCGAGACTCGTCACTAAAGACAATACTGTTCCATTCCTGATCCCAGAGTGACCGTTGTCTGCACCACTCAAGGCGATTACGTCGGTGTTCTCGAGTTAAAGGGAGGACCCAGTGTGGCCGGTATGAAAACAAGCCAAAACTTCTCATTCGTCGGCAAACACTTCGCATGCCAATAGGTCTTCCGTGTTCTGCAAACCATTCATTAGCAATAGACCTGGTAGTGGAGAAACGGTCCCTTAAGGCCAATAATCTTATCCGGCGATCTTCACGGTCTGTTGTTCTACGGCGGCGTCCAGTGCCCCTTGCTCTTTGCATACGGCCTTCTCGAAGCCATACCTGACAACACCTAACCACAGTGTCTACACTTCTTTGCACTCTAACTGCAATTGCCCGAAAAGAAAGTCCAGCTTCCCGAAGTCCCACTATACGGCCCCTATCAAACTCACTAAGTTGACGAAATCGTACAGGTCTCCGTACTCTAGGCATCGTAACCGATCGTAAAGGATGTCAAGAACCAAAATCCGCCAACGTTGATTCTTTACTGCGGCTGAAATATTCATTTTTAGAGCGTTAGTGAATTAAAAACAAAAGCAGTATAAAAACCGGAATGTCCAACTGATAAGGCTGAAAATTTTTTCACTTGTTATTTACAGTAAGATAAATACATTCACCAACTTTTATTAAAATAAAACCATTCAAACTGGGTGTTCGGATTTATATGTCACTTAGTATATATTATTTATTCCTCTTCACGTCGAATATACGGTAAGCTTTCTTCGGGTTGACTCAAAAAATAACATGCGCAGAACTCATAATAGAATACAGTTTCACTTTGAGTAGACCCGAACGATATTACAATTATATCCAGTTTACTAACGAACTACTCAAAAGATAAATTTTAATTTTTGGTAGCGTAGAAGAGGCACGTTAAGAATGGGGATAACACTCTGAAGGAAAATCAAAAAAC